CCGGGTGAAGTTTGTTTATGAAGGCTCTGATTTTCAGATTACCCATGGTTCAGTAGTCATTGCAGCCATTACCAGCTGTACCAATACAAGTAACCCCTCAGTTATGCTAGGAGCTGGTAAGTGTGTGATTCTTTTACTTGTAGAAGTATTTCTGTGACTTTAGTTCTGCATCTTAACAAATGAGGCCAAATGGATCTTTCTATTGTCAGTGGAGTCTCACTGAATATACTGTCTAAGGTTAGAAAAAGGAATCCTGGAAAATACTTGGGTTTCTACCTGGCAATTCTAGCTAACAGTTTAATTTGCCTTTTCTCATTCTGTCTAGCCTGTAATGCAAATCAACTTAATTATTACTTGTTCTACACCTCAAGGTGTTAAGTATTGATGTAGGTGCAAGTAAGGGCCAATATTACCATATGTACTCGAATCGAAGATGACCCTGAATTTGATTATATGCAGAGCAGGTGTGCTTGATTGTGAGAGGAAGCTTTAACTTTAACAACTGGCGCTGAGACTTGGAGATGTAGACCTCAGTTTGCTGGTATAATTCTGTTGACTTGAAAATAATTTCTTTTGCTCACCATGGGTAAGAAAGGGGCTGAAACTGGAACCACAACAGCATGCATTTTGGTGCTAGCACTTTTATAAACCTCTTAGGTCTGCACAGGGACTATTTGATATGTTATAAAAATGCAACTCTTCGTCTCAGGTACTGGGCAGCTGGTGAGATAAATCATGCTTGTAAGCACTCCAGCGTAAGAGATTTTCTGCTGAAAAATCTTTGAGAACTCGACTCAAACTTTGGGGTGTAAATAAACTACCTAGGTTTGGGATAATCTGTGAGCTAGCAGATTCTCTCTTCCTGCTTTTTAGTAAAACAGCAACTAGGTGTATGTTAAGCTGTTGCTAATAAAACCTTCCTACAAAACGCCTTGTTCTGCCTATTTAAAATCTTTGGTTTCTTTGGTTTGACTGTTTTTTTTTTTCCTTTTATTTTATAATATCTTTCACTTTAGGCCGTGATGAAGAAAAAGTTAAGCATATAAAGAAATACCTTGAAGCGGTGGGAATGTTTAGAGACTTCAATAGATCATCTCAAGATCCAGATTTCACTCAGGTTAGTAGACTGCTCAGCATTTAGTCTCTAGTCTCCCTTTTATTCCTCCAATTCACCCTTTCCTTTCAGTATTATTTACATTTGTTAATTTCTATTTCATCTTGCAAAGGTGGATTTCAAAAGATGCAAGGAAAAATATAGCCTGACTTTTTAACTTTCCATACTAACTTTCTTTGTAGTCTCATCCCCAGTTGCATCTTTTTGTAGCATGGTTAGTTATCCATGCCAGTACCGGGCTTTTAAGAAGCTGGGTATGTGACACTAAACAATACAAGCTGTCTCATTCAAGAAGCATGGGGAACTGAAAGGGTTTGTTTACAGAAACCTCAATAAAAAAACAACAGCCCCTCATTGTTGGCATTGCTAAAGCAGACTTTTCACTTCTTTACTGTGAGAGAACTTATTAGCCAGGGTTTCATGGATTTAAAGAAGGGAAGAACCAGTCCTTATAATTAGGAAACATGGGGGTTGGAGGTGGAAACAGAGCTAAATTGGGTTTGACAATATCTCAAATTTTGTAATGAGAGAAGATTACGTAAACCTAATGCCACTAATGAGTGGTGAATCACAAATTGTTTGCCTATGTGCTGTATAGTGTGTTTGTGTTGTATTTCCCAATGTTAGCAGTAGGATGCATGTTGACTTCTGAAGACAAGATGGAGGGGCAAAATTCTCAAAATTGCCAAAGCCATTTTAGGCTCCTTTTTACCTGGGAGGCAACAATATTGGAACTTGTAACTCACCTCAGATGGCTGTGAGAAAAAATTGCCCTTAAACGCTTTCTTTGGGTGGCGTAAACACTAAAACTTGTAAGAAACTAAATAGCCCCTCTGAAGTCAATGGTAGCTATTCATAGAATGGTAGAAAATTAAAGTTAGAACTCATCTAGTGTAACCCCCTGCTTGAAGCAGGACCATCCCCAACTATATCACCTTAACCTATTGATGTGCCTTGCCCCAGTTCTTCAATGTATACACGTGTCTTTTAGAGTAATGTTTCTTCCTTTGTTTTGCTTCATGTTATCGCTTTGGTGAGAGATTCTTTGTTCCCCCTGTTGTCCAGGTTGTAGAGCTGGATCTCCATACTGTCGTGCCTTGCTGTAGTGGACCCAAACGACCTCAGGACAAAGTAGCCGTGTCAGACATGAAGACGGACTTTGAGACTTGCCTGGGAGCCAAGGTAAGTGTGCTTTGCCCCACAAACTGGAATGTCTGTTTTTTTCAGAAGCTGTCTGGTATTTAATTGACATGATGTGTTGGTGTAGTTCAGTACAAGGGACAAATTATTTCGTGTGAAAGAACATTTCCTGCACTTTCACTTGTAGGTTAGGAAACAATCGTATTGAATAAGTAGTTGAGAAGTAATGGTTCTCAAATTGTAGGTCATGGAATGTAGGTGGCTTATTAGGGAACCACTGCTGTATTGAAGTAGAAACTCCCTTGTGCTAATTGTAGACTAATGAAAGGATGCATCTATAATCCATCCTTTGTAGATATACCTGAGCAAAATTTAAATTAGCAATATGTAAAGTAACTGTATTACTGCAGCAGTGTAGGACTCAGCCTGAGGTATAACTTGTCAAGTGTTGTTCCAGTTTATCCAGTTTGGCTTCATACCCCATGCTGCCATAAGTACACAGCTAGCAGTATCCAAACTGATTAGTGTGGGTATGTTTACATGAGCTGCCATCATTAGGACTTCCTACAGGTTTCTAGAGGTGCCTTATTTTTAAGAAAAGCAAAATCAAAAACACTTAAGGGGTCTTTGGTGCTTTTCATTGGATGGAACACAATGAATAAAAACTAGACTTGGGTTCTAATCTAACTGCTAAAACCCAAACATCCTTAAACTTTGGATTTGAAACCAGATCTAAACTTTTGCAAATTGGGCTTGTTTCCTTAAAAGTGAATTCGTATGAAGAATTTAAAATGTATATGTACATTTTGGGTAATAGCCATGAATTGTTGTCTTACATTTTTCAAATCCAACTAAATTGATGTTTCCTGTATTTTTTCAAGCCTCTTATCATAGCCAAATTTTGAGATTGACACTCTTCATTTTTTTTTTTCAAACTATCAATTGTTAGACTACTATGCCATCTCTCAACATGAACTTGTGACCATACGGTGTTCTTATATTTTGGACATAATGGCCAGAATGTCTGAGAGCATTATGATAGATGGATACCTATTTCCCAGCAGGCACTGGAGTACAGTTTGATCTGGGTTCCAGGAGAAACTGCAGAACTCAGAACTTGAATCTGTGCAGTCCTCTTGTGCAAAATACCTCACCTTTCTTTCTCATCGTTTAGGGATGATAGGGTAGTAGTAATCCCAGTAGAACAAACCAGCTTAGTTGAGTCACCGAGGACTAACCTAGGGACCCCAAGAACTTAGAACGTGAGCTGATGTTTGACTGTGTATGTAGAGGAAGAACTGTAGTATACTCATCACTTGACACTGAAAAGGCCTGCCAATGACTGTTTATTGCAACACCTCAACTTACACATTTGGGCTAACTGTGTTCTTTTGGCTTTGATCTTTCCTTTTTAGCAAGGATTCAAAGGATTCCAGATTGCCCCTAAACATCACAGTGACCGGGTGAAGTTTGTTTATGAAGGCTCTGATTTTCAGATTACCCATGGTTCAGTAGTCATTGCAGCCATTACCAGCTGTACCAATACAAGTAACCCCTCAGTTATGCTAGGAGCTGGTAAGTGTGTGATTCTTTTACTTGTAGAAGTATTTCTGTGACTTTAGTTCTGCATCTTAACAAATGAGGCCAAATGGATCTTTCTATTGTCAGTGGAGTCTCACTGAATATACTGTCTAAGGTTAGAAAAAGGAATCCTGGAAAATACTTGGGTTTCTACCTGGCAATTCTAGCTAACAGTTTAATTTGCCTTTTGTCATTCTGTCTAGCCTGTAATGCAAATCAACTTAACTATTACTTGTTCTACACCTCAAGGTGTTAGGTATTGATGTAGGTGTAAGTAAGGGCCAATATTACCATATGTACTCGAATCGAAGATGACCCTGAATTTGATATATGCAGAGCAAGTGTGCTTGATTTTGAGAGGAAGTTTTAACTATCTTGCAGGATTGGGCAGAATATAGCTAAACTCCTTTTGCCATTTGCACGTGACTTAGCTTTTAAGTGGGGGCTTTTTACAATGCCAGACAATTGCTTATATTATTGAGCTGATTGAACTGCCCATAATCAAGTTTTCTAACACTTCCCTGTGTTCAGTTGGGGTTCGATTGGCCGAAGTGTTGAACACTCAGTGGCTGTCATTTGTCATTTGAACCCGAGCTTGAACTTGCAAACAACTATGTAATATGAAGTACTTAGAAAAATCTGGTCCAAGGTGTCTCAAATTGGGCACCTAAAGTAAATGGACCTCCTTGATCTCCTTTGGTGTCTTTACATGGGCCCTGGGTAATTGCAACATGTTGGAGCAGCATCTCCACATGTCTGCCAGCACCCTTTATGCTTTGTTCCCATTTGAAAGAGGGAGCAAATACTCCTCTCCCTCCCCCATCTTCCAAACAAAGGCATGATGTGATGGTAAATCCATGTCTCTGTGAAACCCTCCATTACAGTGGTGCTCAACATCACAGAAAAGCCAACAGGATAGTTTAGAATTCTGCCTTCGAAGTGGGGTTTGACTAGTATGCACTAAATAAAATGTGGGATTACCTATTAAGCAACAAAAAGATGGCATGCCAAATAGCTGCTCACTGAGTTTGCACCATCCTTTCTGGGAACTGAATACGGCTTGATGCTCTGGAGGGGTGGCAGCAGGGGCCTCATTATGCATTTCTGAATTGTGTTATAATACATATGCAGGGATCCTGAACTAAGGTGCCCAGGTTACCTGATTCTGGCATTTGCTGACATTTTTCTGAGTGTCCAACTTTGCGGCCTTTCATGTTCTATTCAAGTAAGGTCTTTAATGGGTAATTCACCAGACATCAGTGTTCTTGAACTGGGTGAGGCTCATTAATCATTGTATGGTCATCTAAAAATGTCTGGTTTGACTATATACCTACAATTCCCATTTACTTCCCTAGAAACTGTGTGTTCAGCACCTGTGAAAGCTGAACCTTTATTTAAGTGCTTTGAACTTCAGGCCACCATGGCAGTGGGTACTGTGGTTTAAAATCTGTATAGTTGCCATGGTATCCATGCTGTTTGGTATCCGTGTGTGGTATCCATGAATGGAAGGCTGCAGCCTTCAAAGTCCTTTGCTACCAGGACCACTGATTTCACCTGGATTTAGAGAAGTTGTTTAAAAGACATAAATACCCAGCGATAGTCAGGATCATTTCTGTTAACGTGGTCCATATCCTAAAGATGGTTATACACTGCTATGAATGGTTTGCTTGTTAAAATAGCAACAAAATGCTCCTTAAATAACCTGCAAGTTGTAAGAGTACTTGCTTGTGCCAAGGGGCTAGATTTCCTGTTGGCAAATGCATCTGCATTTGAGGCCTGTGATCCAATGCCAGCAGTTAGTTCAGTCCTGGGTCACCAGTCTGTCATATGGAATGTTATATGGCTCCTTTTCACTGTTGTTTGTAAGCCACTTGTTTTGATGCATACAGATAGCTCCAGCATTATCTAGGTACCTAAATTTTATCTGCAGTCTGTCCTCGTTCTAACCAAGCTTCAAAATGTACCTTTGAATATAGCTATCCATATCTTACTGACTTATTGTTGCTCTTGTTCCATGGAGATCAATGAACTCATGCATGTGTTTTTTCTGAATTGTGGTGTGAGAAGACCAACCAGTGGGGAAAATGGAATCTTTCAGTTAAGCTGTTCATGCTGCCAGCCATGTTTCTTTCTTTCCTGGAGGGTGCCATTTTTAAGAATAATTATGGATGTCTTTTGTGTTTTCCAGGATTGCTAGCGAAGAAAGCTGTCAACGCTGGTCTGACTGTCAAGCCTTACATTAAAACTAGCTTGTCTCCAGGAAGTGGCGTAGTGACTTACTACCTGAGGGAGAGTGGAGTAATGCCTTACCTTTCTCAACTAGGGTAAGAGGGATTTTCATTTTATAGTCCCAGGGCTTATGATTCTTAAGCATAAACGAGTGATGTAATAAGGTAATGAAAGATGCAGTTGAGCCCAGAGGGCCCAGACTTACCTAAGCTGTTGTAACACCATTAAGTCAGGTGACTCTTATACCAGCTAAGCACCTATCCTTTTTGACAGCTGGTTTTTCTTTTTCATTCTTTTGTCAAAGATTTGATGTCTTGAAGTAATGGAATGCCTTGTTTCTTAAATGTAATTGTTTTAAAATAGCATCATGCATAAACTCCTGTACTAGAAGTCCTTGTTCGATACCAACAGGCAAGGCATCATTCCCTATTCAGTGTTGAAAAATAGATGCCTAGTATTTGCAATTGTGTGCACTAGTGTCTAGCTGTATGCATAATTATGTACATATATCTCTTTGTGCATGTCAGCTGGGTGCACATGTGCATGCAATTTAAAAAATGTGCAAAGTTTGGATTTTTTTTCTTTTATGGTATTAGTAATAAAACAAACCATTTTTGCAACACAGTTCAATTTTGTCTGCAACATAACACATCTTAAAATAGGCATAGCTTCATTATCATATAATATGCTTTACCGCGCAGCAATTGATATCAACTACTATGTTTAATGATTTCCTAATATGTTTAACACTACCTGCAGGTTTGATGTTGTGGGTTATGGGTGTATGACCTGCATTGGGAACAGTGGACCTCTACCAGAGCCTGTTGTTGAAGCCATCACTCAGGTAGGCAGCTGCAATCAAATCTTCCGCAGCATGTAGCAGCAGGGTTTTTTTTTTCCCAGAGTCGATTCATTTATTTCACTTGGGTGACCCAAAATCATTACTCACTCCACTTTTCAAAACTTGGTTTTCATTTGGAGAGAGCCTGGAAGCTCTCATGCCCTGTAGAGATCTTGGGTCAGGTAGGAGGTTGAAAATTCCTTGACTTAAGGAAGGTTTAGCAATGATTTATTTTTTTGTCAGAATATATTTCTTGTTCCTTACTCCTGAGCAGCAAATGGTGTCAGGCCACTAATACACATGGTTTTATTGAAGACCTACAGAACTCAATTTATATAGGGTGAAGTTAGGCACCTCCAAAGCAATATTTGCACCTGCTGTTCAACTAACATATAGTGATTGATTTGGCAGTTTTCTGTTACCGGCATTGAGATTGGCTTGTAGTCATATCTCTGTGTGCAAAATGTTTTTGGGATAGTTCAGTATTTGGAAGCTTTCAAGGAAGACCAAGGTGCTTCAAGAAGATTGCAGATATTAAGGTCACAAAGGACTATTTTTGATCATCTGGTTTGTCCTTCAGAAGAATGTGTCATGGGAAAAGATGGTCCTTGTGATTCCCTCTGATCTTCATCTTTCTTCTAGGGTGGTAGCTATACTACCATTTAGATTAGTGATCAGCAGCCTTCCTTTAGGCTGCAAGCTGGCATGTCCCAGTTTGTCAGAGACAGGTTGCTGGGCAGGTGCTAGGACCCACCTGCTGCTGACACTTTTTCCTGCAGTGACATGGGGAGACATCTGCAGCCAAAGTTTCCTGCTGCTGACGCCCCATCTCCATGGGCTGGATCAAATCACACCAGGCCGGATCCAGCCCATGGTTTATAGGTTTCCCACCCCTGTTCTAGATGAGAAATAAGGAAGAGGTCCAGAGGACATGTCATCACAGAAGATGCCTGGTTGTTTTTGGAAGAGCACTCCCGCTTGCCCACTCTCCAAGTCATATCCCATCTTTCAGCCTTCCTCATGCCATTTAACTATGTCTCTGCTATGTGTTGTCCTAAGTTATGCTGTTCTCCTAGCTAGCTATCTTGTTCCCTAGTCAGCTTCCCAATAGTGGGTCAGTAACTGTTCCATGCTTCCATTTCTCTGTGGAAGCTACTTTAGGGATCCTTTGGAAAGAAAAGTGATGTGAATGTAAATGATCACTCTGATACCAAATGCATACATACACCTGCCAAATGCATTTGAGCAAGAAGCCTCTTAGATTGTTGTTTTGATGTTTTCTTTCCTGTTTTGCAGGGAGACCTCGTAGCTGTGGGTGTGTTGTCTGGAAATAGGAATTTCGAGGGTCGTGTCCATCCCAACACGCGTGCCAATTACCTAGCCTCACCACCACTGGTGATAGCTTATGCTATTGCAGGGACCATAAGGATTGACTTTGAAAAAGAGCCTTTAGGTAAGAAGACACTGGGATTCTTTCCTCCTGTCCCTCAAGGGATTCTTTCCTCCCTTCCCTTCCAAAGTGAAATCAACTGATGTTAAGATTCTTAATGTCTGAGTCCAGAGCGAGCACCTCTTCAGCATGGGTCACTGAAGAGGCCAGTGAATTGCTATTAGGATGCAAAGCCTGTACCTATAGTGGCTACTAGGCACATGAGAGAGAAGCCCAAATATCAACACCTTCTAAACTTGTGGAAGTTTCTTCTTGGGTTTATTAACTACTAGAGTCTTGATGGTTCAAGATGGGGGCATGTCAGAGCTGGAAGGTACTAGCTCTGCATGGCAGCATCTACTGACAAATATTAGTTGGGAGTACACCCTGTTTCTTTTCACACTGGAGTGTGTGAGCACCTGTTCCACATCAACCTTCATATAGCCTAGCAGAGCTCCTGTGAGTAGATTATAGAGAAGTGGGAATATATGTGGAAATATTGACCAAACTATTTTTTAATAGACCATATGCATGGTTTCCTGCAGGAGTAAACGCAGAAGGGAAGATGATTTTTTTAAGAGACATTTGGCCAACAAGAGATGAGATCCAGGCTGTTGAACGTCAGTATGTTATTCCTGGGATGTTCAAGGAAGTCTACAAGAAAATAGAGGTGAGTTAATCTCTAGTGCGACATGTTGTTTGACTTGATATGTTGAAGGCTTTCCTACCTTAATGTAAGTTTCACTTGGAAAAGTTTTGCCCAAAGACGTAATTGGATGGGGATTTCTCTTTTTCAGACAGTAAATGAATCCTGGAATGCCTTAGAAGCCCCATCAGAAAAATTATATACTTGGAATCCCAAGTCTACATATATAAAGTCTCCCCCTTTCTTTGAAAACCTGGTAAGTACAGGGTTTATTTTTTTCCTTCCAAAGAGTTTTCTGTTCACTTCTCTGAATAACAACATTGAATGTGTATTCAGGGTTTTAGTCTGTGCATGTCTGGAGTAATTCTGCTCATACCTTTTGTAACATAGCAACATGCTTGTGACTTATACCCATGTGCTTGGTCTTTCACTCTTAGGTCTTTCCTTTTTATTTTATTTACTACTTTTTTAGTTAAATTTTTGGTAAGGACTTTCCAAAGCAACCTAAATGACTTGTGTTTTGGAAATTCCATCTTGCAAAAAAACCCCCAAAAAACAAAGAAAAGAAAAGTAGAGAAGTAAAAAGCATGCTATTTAAAAAATGTTCTGCTCTGAGATGAGGTAGGCTCTCAGCTCAGTGTTTTTTAGATATTAATACATTTGACTATCCAGGTACAGAAATTAGGAAGCATTCTGTATTTTCTAACAGCAGTTGTACGAACAGTGAAAGAACAGCAAGTATATGAACAGGGAGAATCGGTCATCAGAAATCTGTATGTCCCATGCTGTGCAGATCTGGGCATGTCTGAGGAATAATGTTGTGTGTAAGAAACCATCTTTTGCAGCTAAGTGTGTGTGTGTGTGTGTATGTATGTATGGCAAGATATATTTGGTCATTTTCACTTCTTCATCTTCTTTTTACAATTATCTGAAGAAATTCTGGGAAATTTTTATGATGAGTTGTTCTGCATTTTGCTTGCTAGACTTTGGAGCCGCTGCCTCCTAAATGTATAGTAGATGCCTACGTCCTGCTAAATCTTGGAGACTCTGTAACAACTGACCACATATCTCCAGCTGGGAATATAGCAAGGAACAGCCCTGCTGCCCGTTACTTAACCAACAGAGGGTAAGTCAAGTTTCCTCCTTCCAGAGAACCTTGCCACGTCCCAGGTCCATCAAAGGCAGCAGCAACACTTTTTCTTAGACTTTAGCAGGACTAGATTTTTTTTGTCTCAAATGCACTTCCTTTGCAATACAAGACTTCTCCTTTATGGGTCATTCTGAGCCAAAGAAGCTGCTGCCTAGATCTTCAGTCCTTGCCAGTTGCAGCAGCTGCACTGATAGTCACCAAAGCATGTTGCTGAAAACATCTTGTTTTTGTGGTACTGCTGTAAATGAGTTCCAATTTTTTTTGTTTGTCTTGAGTTGACTTAATGACCTAGAGGGGAATGGCTTCCCATTTTGCTTCACAAGCAATGTGGCAATTTTGTTCCCTGCCTACCCCCATTCTCTCAGAACGGTCCAAATCTCTTAAAATCAGAAATACACCCTAACTGTGCTTTTGTAACAGTTTATCCAATCATTTTGTAAATAAAATGGACTGAGGTAACATGGGTCATTGAAGGCAAATGTCTTGCTTCATTTGTTCTAGTGATGTCAATCAGTTTAAAATCTAATTAATCTCACATTCAACTTGTGTAATAAATGCAACATGTTTCAACCACACTTCGGCAGTAGCCCAGTACAAACTGCAACTCTCTGTACCACATGCCTGTTACAGGCTGGGTTGAGAAGTAGTCTTGCATGTATAGTTGGGCTGGGGCTCAGCTGTGATTCCTACACTTCTTTTGATAAATTAGGATTCCAAATATTCTTCCTCACAGATACCTTGTGTCCGTCTATTTGTTTACCTAGTAACCTAGACCAGGAATTACTCAACCCCCAGCCCAAGGACCAGATACAGCCCATGGCACCATGTCATCCAGCCAGCAGGGCTCCTCATCAGTCAAAAAAATTGGTGGTTGGAGAGTATTGGCAGTGATGACACTCCCTTGATGCCAAATTTTGGACCTTTAGAAAGTCCTGCAGGCTAGATAGTGTGGACACAAGTTAAAGTGGGTGCATGAGGTAGGGGCAACACAAGGTGGGATCTGAGTGCACAGGGCCTGATTTGGGAAGTACAAGATGGGATCCAGGGGTGTGAGGCAGGATCTGGTGCATGGGGCTCCAGTTAGGCAGCACAAGATGAGATCTGGGCAAGTGGGGCCCAATCCAGGTTGCACAAGGTTGGATCCAGGTAACACGAAGTGGGATCTTGGTGCACAGGGCCTGATCCAAGCACCAATCAAACAAATCTGGCCTGTGAACATGTGCTGCACCATGTACCCAGCCCATGAGGCCAAAAGGTTGAGCACCACTGACCAAGACTAAGCACTCTAGACAGGGACCGTCTTTGTGCAAGGCACTATATACATGATCAGAACTATGGAATCTCTGGTTGTTGCAGTTTTCATATTCATTGGGAACTTATTGATGATAAAATGGGGAATCTGAAGTGGTTTCTATTGGCTTTTGTGGCTGTGAATCTAATAAATGTTGACTGTAATCCTGTTGTCATTGTGGTGTGTGGTAAAGGACTAACAGTGTTTTGACAGCTATTCTAGGCAGGTTCTGGGTTATGAGAACAGGCTGGCTAGAAAAGAATCTTAAAAATAGAACTAATGTATAGTCAAGAGCTGCTGACATAATGTGTTTGTGGGACTCTTGTAAGAGCCTGATGAGAGAGCTGTTGAACCAAATTTAAGTGTGGCTGGATTTGAACTGAAAAAGGTCTCTTCATCACTTTAAAGTATGGTGGTACTTTGATTTAAAAACAGACCTGTTTTTTTGTGTTTTAAGTTTGACTCCTAGAGATTTCAACTCTTATGGCTCCCGCAGAGGTAATGATGATGTCATGGCCAGAGGAACATTTGCCAACATTCGCTTGTTAAACAAATTCATCAATAAACAGGGACCTCAGACCATCCACTTTCCTTCTGGGGAAAATGTGAGTAAAGTGGGGCTGGCTGTCTTCCCACAGTTTGATTGGGTTTGGCATAGTAACCTGTTCTTTAAATCTAGGATGGCTGGAGTTAAAGGGGGGGGCAGGGGGTGTTCCTTTTTCTGCAGGTTTATTGAGTTGTATTATTTGTCCAGTGGCAGCTATTTTGGAAATTGTGGCCTTGGACACGCATTACATTTGCAGTGCTGTATGTGGCCTGCAGCACCACAGAAATGTTCCTGTTTTGAAACAGGAACTTCTGTAGTGCTAGGTCTTGTAGTGTCACAAAATGTAATGTAATATGTCTAGTTACTTGTAGTGCTACAGAGGATCTGTTGACCCCTCAGCATCCAACAAGACTCTGCTTTTCCTCCCTCCCCCCCTACCCCTTTGAAGGGTGAGGCAAAGCAGCCAATTCCCTGACGACCCACACTGCAGCCCAGTTCTGACCTAAGGTTACAGCTCTGTTCACCACGGTGATCTGTCATGCAGTTTGCTGCTGCTCAGGGAAGCCAGTGCCATCACTGCTGTGGCAGGAATGGGTGCTGCTGCCCCTGTAGGAGCAGCATTAGGGAGGGCTACTGCTATTCTGTTGGGGTCCTGGAAACAACTGATGTCCCAGCAGGGACTGACGGGTCATCGGTGCAGCAGCAGATGTCCTCACCTGGGACTTGTTGCTGGGAGGGGGTGCAGAGCAGAGGAACACACCTATTCAGCAACTATGGACTCGAGCCGGGGAGCTCTGAACAATGTGTACACCACTCACTTTTGTAGTGCTCCAGAGTGATACAGCACTAGTAGCATTACAAACAAACATATGCCCAAGACTATGTTTAACAGGGCTTATAGAGGACCAGTGGAGAACCTAGTTTTACATAGCATGCTGTATTTCAGTGTATAGGTCGACCCCCAGCTTTCTGATTTGAAAGGTAAGTATTTTCATAGGCACGGAAGTTGAGGCTGGGCTCAGGGCCACAACAGCCAAGTGCTGAGCCTGTCCCTGTCCACTGTGAGCAGTGCATACTCAGTCAAGTGCTGAGCTCAGCCTCATCCCCTGCAAGTGGCACTGAGTCTGGTGCTGCTCTTGGGGGACAGGCATGGGGCTGGGCTCAGTGCTTGGCTGGCACAACCCCCATCCCTTGTGAACAGCAGTGGTTGGGCCACACCAGTGCCACTTGCAGGGGATGGGCCCTCACCAGCCGAGTACCAAGCCCGGCCCTGGTCCCATTCCCTGTGAGCATCACTGGACTTGGTGCTTGGCTGGTGTGCCCCATCCCCTGCAAGTGTTACTGCTGTGGCCCAGGCCCAGGGGATGGGGTTGCGCCATCTGAGTCCAGCTCCGTGCCCAATTATTTGATGTGGTATCGTGTATAAGTCAAGTCTGATTTTTTTTTTTTTTCTTAAGACCCAAAAATTGGGCTTCAAAACCCAACTTATACACTATAAAATACAGTATCTATTGTTCTGTTCTGGTCACCTCTTGTGAGAATATGGAAAAAGTGATAGTGGCATGGAGGCACCTTGTCAGTAAATTCTGGATGACATGTAGTTGTTTTGGGAATAAAATGTTGGTATAATGCCTATTCATATGACCTGAAAGGAACAAAACTTTGGAAGTGGGTAATATCTACGAGGGTGTTTAAAAAAGTAATGGTAATTTTGAAATGAAACCATTTTGTGTGCCATGATCACTTACTGAACTATATCACTTCTCTACACAGCGCTAAATAATGGGTGCATTTGATGCTACTGCTATCAGTTTTTACTGCTGCTGTGTAGCTTCCCACTCATGGCGCGCACAGTGGTTTTGTTGTGAAAATGCTGTTACTTTCTGAATCAGTCTTGTGTAACCACATCAGTGTGTCCAGTTATTATCTGAACAGGGTGGCCTGATTGTAACTTATGTCTCACTCCCTTGATGCATGATGATAGCCATTTGCTTTTGATTGTGGAAAACATGAAATGAACCAGTACTGGTGTGAAGCAAGGAGCTAGAGCCCCCTTGTGGCAGTGCTTTTTTGGTCTCTCTTACCTCTGTACAGTTGCATTTCCCCACCAGGTTTGCAATGTGCCTGGTCTTCTCTTTCCAGCTTGATGTGTTTGATGCTGCTGAAAGGTACATGCAGGCTGGCCAGCCCCTCATCGTACTGACTGGTAAGGAATATGGCTCAGGAAGCTCTCGGGATTGGGCAGCAAAGGGACCTTTCCTGCTGGTGAGTGGCTAATCTTTAAGGGAGAACGAGGAAGAGAGAAGCCAGGAATGTTTGGGAGGGTGGTATGGGTTCCCCCCATTTTTGACAAATTCCTGAGTATCTTAAGAGTAGCACCCTAGAGCACAAATTCCCTCTTCATTTAGGTGTCCAAGTTTTTCAAAGAAATATCCATACCATGTTTTTTCATGCATCCATTTTAAATAGGATATGGCACCCAGACATATATGACGAGAAAACTCTTTAACCATAAACACTGAGAATTTAAAGATCATATTTGCCTGTTGTGGCTTCCTGTGGATAAACTAAGTGGCATTTAAGAACAAGAGTTACATTTATATCAGAACCTCCTGCCAATAGGTGCTGGATCTTTTTTTTTTAAAGTTCAGCAGTGACTTAGCCCATATTAAGATCTGTGCTGGAAAAGCAAATTAAAAATTAACTCATCAGACTTACTGACTAAGAACTGTTCTGTTCTATAGGTAGTGTTATATTTTGCAATTGTTATGTTGCTACACAAGACTGCCTTTCTGAAAAGGGCCTAAGGTTGTAGTATGATTAGTAAGATACAGGCTTAGGCAAGTATGTTTGAATGAATGAAAGTGCCAGGATTTGCAGTTTGTGTGGTATTCAGATAATTGATGGTGGGTATCTAAGAATATTCTTCTCGCAGGAAAATGCATGATTTTTGTCTAGAAACTCCTGCTAAACATGCAGAGGTTGGTGTTTTGTCTGCCTGCTCTTGAAGTTTAAAATTTAATGCCCATCATGAATTCAAATCAAAGTTAGCCAGTAGTGCTTCACATTATGATTAGTGTTTAGACTATTGGTTATTTGCAGACTCCTTAGCAACAGCTTAGGAACAAAGAATGACTTCATAGCCAATAGGGTTTATGTGGATCATTCATTAACCAAACTGTGGCTAGATATTTTGTTTGTTTGTCTGTTCATTTGTTTTGGATAATTTCAGTCTTATATGTAGTATAAGAAGAGCTGGAGGAGGAAGATATGTGCAGCCACATTGTGGGTTGTCATCTGGCCCTTTACAGGGACTTTTGGCCTTTGTTATCATCCCTCTAGCATTACCTTTAGTCCTTTCTAGGAGGGTTGGAGGATAGGACTGCAATAATGCCACAGTATATTTACCACTCTTTGAGATGGGGACTAGTTTAATTCTGTGTTTGTCCAGCACCATGTACAAAGGGCTCCTGGATACTACTGCGATACACTTTTTGTAAAGGGAATCTACTGCCATTTTAGCAAATGAAAAATAAATTTTGCTTTTAACTTCCTTCATGAAAATGTAATGGAACTTCTGCTTATCTATGCATCATCCTTCTGCTTGTTCAGGTTCTTTCTGAGGGTCTGGACTTAAGTGGAAGTTTGTACTTAAACTTGGGCTATTTTAAGTATACCTTTTATTGCATTGTTCAATACTGTGATTAAATATAGTCTAGAAACTCCTACTAGTGATGCAGAGGTTTGTGTTTTGTCTACCTGCTCTTTGTTTCTGTATGGGCATCTAGAAAATGGCTATGAGGCACAATATTGAAACAAATCCTTAGCATAGGCACTCATTGCAGTGAAAGCTTACTCAGGCTGCCCAGGTACATGCTTCTGTTCTTTGTCTGGGACAGGGGCAATGCCAGCCTCTTCCTGGTGTGGGGGCTGAGCCTCTGCGGGCTGTGGCAGGCAGCATTGGCCTTGGTGGGGAGGAGGAAGGAGGCAGGGCTGGGGTGGTGCCAAGGCAAATTTTGGGATGACTGTAGCTCCCCCCTTGCCCCTCCCTAATGCTGCCCTTGGGAAATTAAAAAAAAAAAAATTAAATGTCAACAAAGGTTAGACTTTCAAAAGACTCATGCTTCCCTGCTTGGGGACTCCTCCAAAAGGATCCAGTTTTCAGAGAGTGCTGAGCACTGAAAATCAGGGAGGCCCCTGCATTTGTGTAGGAAGCTTGACATCTTTGTTAGACTGTTGGGCTATAATTGTAGTACAGCAAGAGAATACATTTTGGTTGGATGCTTGTTTTCCCCACTCAAGAGATCATTCAAAATGTAAGTGCAGTTAATCTGTTTGATTTTTCCAGGGCATCAAAGCCATTATTGCTGAGAGCTATGAGCGAATTCATCGCAGTAACTTAGTCGGAATGGGAGTGATTCCCTTGCAATACCTGCCTGGGGAGAATGCTGAGACTCTAGGCCTTACTGGACGGGAACGCTACACAATCATCATTCCTGAAGAACTCAAACCAAGGATGAATGTCCAGATTAAGGTAAATGAGATACTATGGATCAGATTTTCAAAAGCATTTAACAAATTAGAAGTTCTACATAATAGCATTTTTGGTCTAGTCACAGGTATGGTAGTAAGCATACATTCTTACGGGGCTCTAGCGTGGCAAGAGATAAAATCAACGTGCTTAGAACTGTCGATAACATAGCTTAAGGATTGATGAATTCCCTCAATATCTTGAGTTTGATTTAATCCTCCCCACCCCTTTCTCCAGCAATGAATCGCAGTAGTCATGCTGAGATCTCAGTAACGTACAGCTTATTTGGAAACATTTAAATGCATTATATCCAAATAAATGAGAAAGTAATGATTGGGAACCACTTAACAGTCTAGGTGATTTCCAGCCATTCCCAATAGGCTCCGATGGTATAAACAGGTGCTGTCAAATGAAATGGATCAGCTGTGGCAGGATCTGTCCCAGCAGAGTTAATCCACTTGACTGGGAAAAAGCACGTTGCCTGTTGTTCCATATTGGGTGGGGGCCCAATCCTAAGGAACAGTGGATGATGTGTTCCATGCTCGCAGAGGCATGCCACAGAAATTGCCTAGGGCGCATCTCTTTAAGAGGGAAAAGCTGGGCAGGTGCCCAAACCTGTGTGGGGATTCCTGCAGTGTGCAGGACTGGGCCCCTCAAACACTGTGAGCACCCGCCCATGGCCACTGGAGAGGAAGGGCAGCTCTGGGCTGATTGTGCTCTCCTGCCATAAAGCTAACAGACATCTGCCACAATAAAGCAGCAGAAGCTATTATCTCCCCTTCTCACAGCCACCAATTTTGGCATTGATGGTATGACAAATGGTATAGATCTTCGTTAATTTTTATGGTGGTAACAGGAAAAACAGTTATGGCAGCACTAAAGCGATGTGTGTTTGCATGCTGATGCACCTGCCAGGCAGGAAATCTGAAAAAACTAAAGATGCTTGATGTTGGAGAAGTCTGTTGCTTACCAATCTCTTTGAATATCTGCCTTGACTTCTTATTACTAGTTATGCCTTGCAAAAGTGATGATATTTAACAGAGAGCCCTGGTTTACACTGGTGTAGAGAGTCAGATTTGGCCTACTCACATTTTAAATCAGTTTATACTGGTTTGATATTAGGAAGAACTTTCTCACTAGGAGGGTGGTGAAGCAGTGGAACAGGTTACCCAGTGAGGTTGTAGAATCTTCATCCTTGGAGATTTTTAAGTCCTGGCTAGACAAAGCCTTGGCTGGGATGGTCCAGTTGGGGATGGTGCTGCTTTGAGCAAGGGGTTGGACTAGATGACCTCCTGAGGTCCCTTCCAACCCTCATTGTCTATGATTCTATACATGCCTCATTGGGGCAGTCTGTATAGCAGCTAGCATGATGAGATACTGCACACTACCTGGATACAAATAGTAGCAATCAGTTGTGCCCATTCTGGTCAAATTTTTAAATTCTCTTAAAATGAAGGAACTCCTGCTGCCAGTGAATCATTTAATGAACTGGCAAAACTGTACAGACTGTGTTCATAGCTCCTGGAAATGCTTATTGATCAAAAAAGTAGAGAGGTAAGATTTTTCTCTTGTAGCCAGTAACAGAAACACAAATCAGTGCTTGGTTTAAAAAACAGAATAATAAATTTAGAATAAAAATAAACTAAGATCTAGGTATTAAAGGTATTTTTTTTTATATAGCTGGGGCTGTTTCCCTTCCATAGTCAAGGATATCCATCTTCAGGGAATATGTAACCTTTCATGTACCAAGGCAGAAGTCCTACATGATCCCTTTTTACCTGGCCATTATGAGGGATTCATGTTCTTTTGAAGCATCTGGTTCTGGGCAAACACACAATACTGGACTACATAGACCAATAATCTGAATATCTGTTCCTGTGGCACTTTAATAGCTGCACATTGACTGCTTCTTTCCTAATGTTTTTTGTTGCTCAAAGTTTCAAATTTCACATGAACCCCTGTTTGCTTTTTGAACCTTATTGTTTAGATCCGTGGTCTCCAAAGTGGGGTGTGCACAAGACTATCCATTGGGGTGCAGGAAGAAAATATTAGAACTTCTATTTATATAAATGTACATATATTGGGGGTGTGTGCTCAAAAAATTCTTACTGATAGGGGTGCACGATCAAAAAAAGTTTGGAGACCACTGGTCTAGATAGCTGTTAGAGCTCTACAAATTGCTGCATTTGCCTATTCTAGAAGGGGCAGAGTGTATGCGCTAGCTTGGGGCAATCTGCAGAGGGTCCCCCTAATAAAGGTTGTCTGTTACTATTACTTTTTATAACCTGAACTATGGTTTCTGGACTGTGGTTTTCTGACCTGTTAATCAAGCTATCAAATAACATGCATTGCATTGGGAACTTGCATGTTGTCCTCTCTCAGCATGACCTGGTTTGTTTTGTTGTTTTCTTTTTACTCCCACAGCTGGATACTGGGAAAACCTTTCAAACCATCATGAGATTCGACACTGATGTGGAACTCACTTATTTCCACAATGGCGGCATTCTGAACTACATGATTCGCAAAATGGCAACCTAATCAATGCAACACTGAGCACATGTCCAGATAGAAGCCTAAACTGAAATGGTCTCCTTGTGGATTGTATCATCAAGGAGCTTATTTACACTCTTAGCGCCACGTCCAGACGAATGCAGCTGTGTGGTATGTGGCGCCACAAACACATCTGCGGCGCCACATACCCCACATTCAGTTGTTTTTCACACTGCAAGGGAGAAGCAGAGGGTTTTTTGACCCCTGGATACCCAGGGGTCAAAAAAACCCACGGAGTAGAAAAGCGGAGTGATGCATGCAGGGGCAGTGAGCACCGGTCAAAAGTGGAGCTGGGCTACACAAAGCCATGCTGCAGGTGCTGGCCAGGCTTCATGCAGCAGAATCACTGCCGCTGCAGCCCTGGGAGGTCCCTGGGTAAGTCTGCCTCTTGTACTACCCCCACGGGAGCCTGTCACATGCCAGAGCATGTGCACCATGGGCATTCCCCAGAGACAGCTAGCAATGGTGCAAGATGTGCTGCTGCTGGTTGTCCCTAGGGAATCAAATGTCCACACCACATGTGGACGTGGCCTTAGGCATCCAGTTTCTTGACATTTAAAAATCCTCTTATCTTCCCCAGTTAAATTTCTTCTTATTATTGTTTTGTATGGTGGCTGCACTAATGGACTGTTCTAGTATGTGGAGGTTAATTAAAAAAGAGTGCTGGAGTCTGTTAAGTATTGATTGCTGATTTGTATACTCAGTCCATTTAGGGTTAGACACTGTCACCAAACTGCTTCTTTCAGTGTTCCAGAAGTTAACTGACAGTGCAAACAGGGGCGTTTTCTCCTTTTCTGATTTTGGACTAAGCATCAAACCCTGACTTGCTTTTTCTTGCTTTTACAGAAGTTGGCCGGAATCCCTCAGAGTCTAATGCTGAAATGTATTAAATGGCTTAGCTGTTATAAATTACAAAAAAATGTGAACTTTTTTCTTTAAAGTCTGAACCCTAGCTTTTATGAAACTGTGGGTCTCTTTCTGGGGGGGGCGGGGAAGGGAAAAATTTCTAACTAATGAAATTAAATCTATTTTCAAACGTAAGTTGACATGGATTTCTTTGTGTAGTGTCTAAATCTCTGAACAAATTTACAGCATGAACCTGTTACAGGAATATGTTTGAGTTACCATCAAAATCTAATCCCAACAATGACCTTTATGCAGTCCATGAAAGTACAAGGTATCTAACCCAAAAGAGGCATGAGAATAGCTTATAATCCTGTTTTTCCTAGAGAAATGAATATTTGTCTCTTGCTTTATGAAGAAATAATACAGCTTCCAAGTGAATTCAGTGCTCTGTCATGGCTGAAATCAGTCTTCCACTGCTATGAGAATTGTAGCTCTGCTTGCTTCTAGGAGAAAGTGACCATGGGGATGCAAACTATTTAATGGAAAACTATATGGAAAGGGGGAGTGTAAACCTTCTTAGGAGTGATCATAGTTTTTAAAAGACAAAAGTTTCTTTATTACTGTTCTTACTATTATAATCCAGTCCTACAAAGAGGGCATTGAAAGTTCATTCTGTAATGCCTGGTTGAATAACAGCATACCTAGGAAAAGTTAGGTTATGTCTAGAACATTGCAATCCCTTTTATGATAGTTATTAAGTGCAAGAACACTTTCTGTAATGGAAAATTTCTAAAATCCTGTGGAGGGAAATAATATAATAGTGGCCATCAGTTTCCCACCAACTTTCAAATCCCTTGTTTGCTACAGTTAACATGTTGATACAGATAGCAACCTGTCTGTAAAGAGGCCAGTCTTGAATAGTAAATTACAGATCTGTCATGCAGCTTCCATTAAAGCAGTGAATGAATGTGTTTTCCTGAAGAATTAACAAAACAATAACGGTAGCAAAAATATCTGTTTGCGTACAGATAGCTAGGCTTTCCAGAACCATGCTCTGACCTGTTATGAGCACTTGCCAAATGCAAAACTAAGGATAGAAAAATTATAGGTAGGGAGGTACCTATTAAAGCATAGCTAATCACTGGATGTTAGTTTTGACAAACAAAGATTCTAACATGAGGGATTAAGTTAACTTGTTGTTGCTGGTAAAGCAAGAAATATGGTTTGAATTATTTTTTTCCCAAAATGTTTTAGCGACACCTTCCTTCTACCATATGTAAATGGTCAATGACTGGCAGTGGTGTTTGACATTAACTGAGTGGCATTCCTGAATAGCCTTTTCTTAAAAAAAAGAAAACACTATTTAACTGAATAACATGTTCAACTGAAACTTATGCAGGTGTCTTCACAAACATTGGCGATGCGTAGGGGGTGCATGTACATGCACCCCTTGCAAAAAGGCACCACAGACTGTGGCGCCTGTGGGCAGTTGCTGCTTGCCACCCGCCCCTGCCCCTCACCACCGACACCACTGGTGGTGTCTGTGGGCAGTCCGTGATGGCCGCTGGCCACCACCAGCGCTGCCAGCGGTGTCTACAGGTGGTCACTGACCACTGGTTGGTGCTCGCTGCCACCAGCACTGCAGCTGCCTGTGGCAGCTCCCCACTCACCTCTGCCACACTCCCACCGCCAACAGCACTGCTGTGACCTGAAGGAGCTCGCCGTGCCCCTCCAGCCTGCAGGGGCATGCAGCATTCATGTTTACAAACAAGAAAATGTATTAAATAGGTAGTATTTTGAGGCAACTCTCCATAATTAAGTTGAATATCTCTCTTTTAAACCTGTTTTTTACCACTCCCACCCCCAAATTTGGTTCATTTACAGAAATGAACTAACTATGCCTGCAATTTCCTCTATATTTATGCAGAAGTATGTGGGAGAAAATTAGTACGAACAAGTATAGAGACACATTAAGGATTGTAACTTTATAGCCTTTACAGATTTCCCATAGCTCATCAGTATGAGTGACAAGATGGGGCTCCCTATAATAATACCTTTTGATATAGGAATTCATGGCATTTCACTTTTGTCTATATACACAGAATTTATCTTTGCATGTCCTAGCAGATCAGCTGAAAAGAAATCCTGTGTTTAGCTGCATCTACATGTGTGCCTTACTGTGCAGTAGGATACTTTACTGCACAGTAAAGCATCACCATCTACATATGCACCATAATTAGAATGCAGTAGGATAGTACCTGTATCTGACAGCAGAGTAAATTACTGCACTTAACCACACATGTAGATGGTGACATCAGGATTAGTTTACTCTGGCTCAGAGTTTATTCAGTTACATTACTTGCATGTGTAGATGTACCCTCTGAGAAGTAAAAGTGCATGTATTTGGCTCTGAAAGTGCTAAAATAGCTTACAAATGCAGTCTGGTCTTTAGGCAGCTTCGTTTTGTTTTGCACAAACAAACTCCCAATGGTTAACTTTTTAGTTTCTCTCTGGTAACTAATATGGCAGCAATACAGCTGGTGGGAAGGACCAGCAAAGAATTGCTAGAATTCTTAGGGTGTAGGTTACAATTTGCATGTGCTAACTCTAGAAATGTTGGACAGTATTAAAGTTAGTGTGTGTTGTCAGCAGCTGAACGTTAAAGGTTAACACCCTTTAATGTGCACAGCTGTGACCTGCAACTATAGGGCTGGTGAACAGAAGTGTGGCTAGGAGCTGTTAAGTCTGCTCCATGCCTGCACAGCTACAGCAGCTGTGTAGGCTTCTCCAGGATTGGGCCTGTGTCACCTTAGCATCCTCCCTGGCTCCCTCAGAGTCAAACCCTTGAGCCACCAACAGTCCCTGATCTCTGCACTGGTACCCGGGGCTTTTGCCCCAAACATGCTGGTTGCCTATGGTACACACACCACAGGGTAGTGATCTGATCCAAAATTTTGTCTGCCATTTGATCAGTCCTGAATTCCAAACAACTATTCAGAAATCAAAGAGCTAGAGCATGGTATTTTAAATGTGCAGCTGGAGTACATATTTTGGAGTGCTTTTGTTAATTGATTTCAAGACTACAAAAAGACACCTGTGTGGATCACTGTTAGAGCTCTGCTGGTTGTTGTTTTACCTGTTCTAGAAGATATTTAGAGGGGAGGACAATGCATGCGCTTGCTGGCAGTAAATCTCTCTAGGAGTGGGTTTTCTATTACTGTTACTTTCAACAACATGTATTATAGTTTCTGGACTTCCCCTCTGCCTTGATCAAGCTACCAAACAACAAAATGCCCTCCTGTTAGGCCATGTTATTGTTATTAAGCTAGCTACAAAGTTTAGAGCTCAACTAAAGGGTTAGATCAGGCAAACTCTGGTATTAGAGATCACAGGGGGAAAGTGTATATAAAGCTACTTTAAACTGTGAAAGTGTTTTGCATGGCTTTTGGAAGACTGCAAAATATTTATACCCCTCCCTCCCCCTGCCATATAATACAGACAGCTGTTATAACCAGAGAGAAACTGGTGTGACTTTTTCTAGTGGAAGCTGGGACTGGTAAAGATGCATTAGTTCCAAGGTATTTATCCTTGTGTGCGTGTTCACTTGCATTTTTTACTTGTTGCATGCATGCTTTTCCAACCAATTTGCATAGCAAACCCCAAAAGATAACAACTTTAAAAAAAAAGTCTAGCTGTAAAAGTGATAAGTTGAGTAAGACCATTACACTTCAAAGAAAAGTTGCTTATTTACGAAGGACAAATAGTTGAGCAGGAGCCTGCTATTTTATGGGTCTCAGATGTATCTCTCCAGTATCACCACTAAAACAGCTTTAAGGCATCTTTTACAGCCTCCATTCAAGGACAAACACTTCATACTTATTTTTAAAGCATGTCAGTCAATGGCAAGCAGCTTTCAATATTGTTTAAACTGTTTAGATAACAGGCCTTTTGTCTATGAAGCATGAAGAGAAATTCCAGGAACACTCTTGCTATGCACAAAATAATAGGCAGCTTCCCTGCTCCTGGTATGAATGCTGTAACTAAAGAGGACCTCCACCTCCCTTTTATCCCTCTAGCAATTTGGCCACTGTATACAATATCATCCACACTTTTAGTTTGGAAGAAGAGCATTTGTTAACACTTAACAGCACTTGCACACATATCAAAAAGTTTCGTATGTAAATTAACAGATTGATCTGAGCTCTTAGCAGGACATTTCTTTAACATCAAATTTCTTCAGTTCAAAATCAATGTGAACCCACTTCCGGAAAACTGACTGCTTCCCAGTTGCAATGTCCTCCACTACAAAGCTTTCAACTTTGATCACTGGCAGGTTGTCAAATGTCTTGTACCTCATTGTGATGCCCCAGTCATGCTGGCATTTCAAATCTTCACAGTACATCTTACATTTTTTCTCAAAGTGGCCAAATTGCTTTCCTTTTGGATGAGGACGTGTTCTAAAACGGTTGCGGAATTGCTTATCTATGACAATGTGTTGGGAGTCCTAGTATGATAGGGAAAAAAATGAAAAAAAAATATTTTCAGTACTACAAGGAGCTTCATTTACTGGATATGTCAAAGAACCATAAAACACACTATTACAACTACTACTATGCTCCCTAACATGTTCAGTGTTCAGTCTACTTTACAGCTGACTCCACTGAGGCAGAAGGTACTAATCTTTCCAAAAATATGCCACCACTTACAATGGCGTTAAGTGTCAAGTACCAAGACCTCTGACTAATTTTGATTGATTCAAGTGGCAACTATTAAGAATCTATGGAAGTTCAACCCAAGGTGCATTATCCAAGGTAATCCTACCTCCCACTTACTTTAATTCTCCATGGCCTCATTCTTCCATCTAAGATAATATTAATTCTTGTAGCAATTATAGAAAAAACATTCACTTAAA